AACGGTTCAATATCGATACGAGTATTGTTGCACCCCTAATGTTTACATCTATGAACATCTCCAGAACAATTTGCCAGCGTGTATTAAACAGCTAGTGTCTTTGGTAGTTTTTTCCACCACATGTGGTAAAGTGGACCACAGGCAAGCTTTAAAAAAGGCCATTGTTGTTACGTTTTGGCTCAATATATAAAGTGAACATTTATCTTTGGAAACTTAAAGTTAAAACTCTACAAAGTACTGTAGCTTTAAGGTTACAAAATAAAATCAAGAAATGAATTACAAAATAAGTAACAACGCAGTGCAATTCTAAGCTCCTGTTACATTATTAAAAACAGGTCAGGTTAGCTGCTACAAAAATGTCCATCTCAATAAAACACCAATCAGGTGGTTAATATTACTAGCAATATTTTCTGAGCTTTTTTTTTTTTTTTTCACTTTTTTGTGACCTTGTGGCAGTTTTGCCTCTGTACACCACCACAGTGGATATTAAACCAATCATTCAAGATATGATTAAAGTTCAGAATTTCAATATTATATTAACTGTTTAGGAATTACAGCTGTTTTCTGAGACGCAATTGACTCATAAGCAGTTTCATTGCCATGTGAGACCTGTTTTGCTCCTTATTCTATGAGAAATTTAGCTGATGAAAAATCTGGACTTAGGTGCCAAAGTGCTGAACTTGCATTTGCTATCTCTTCACTGGAGCGCTCAGTATGCGGACAAAGAAAATCGATGACTAAGTCAGCCCCTGATCTCAACACAGCACAGCATGTTTATCAGTTACTGAAAACAAATCTGATTTCAGGAGGACCCAAATACAAGCAGCAAGTGAAGGGGGCTGCAAAGCATCATAAAGGAGGAAGCACAGGATTTGGTGACGTCCACTGATTGCAGACTTCAGGCAGTTATTGACTGCAAAGGATTGTCATCATTAAGCATTAAAGTAATGGTCTTATTTAAAATGATGTTATCTAGTTAATGTTGAGCCTCTGAAAATGGGGGTTATTCCTAAACAGTAATTACAATACTTTTGTTAAACCCCATAAATTAAAACTGCATTTCAACAACATCTTGATTGTTTGATTTAAAATCCACTGTAGTGGTGTACAGAGGCAAAATGACAAAAATTGTATCAGTGATAAGCTGGTTCATTACCATCACAAAATCACATTTGAGTAAAGTCGCTAAGCTAAAATTACTAAGATGGATCATTTCTGCAGGACTGAGTTCATGGGGAGATAGTGGGGGAGGGAGTAAGGGACACAGGGAGTGCTTGTACCCTTGTGAAACGGGGAATGCAGAGACTGAGTGATGGGGGAAGTTGGGTGAGGGGGCTCTGTGGGGCCTGAAAGAACACGGAAAAGAGTGAGACAAAATACATAAGCATCACAACAAAGAGCATACAGTACTGACACGGAGAGCTAAAACGTGGCAACGCTTCTTAACACTGAAAGCTAAAATGAAGCACCTGATCCAGCTCTGTATCTACACAAAGAAAAATGAGCAACTCTGCAGCAAATAAATTTCTACTTTGTTTATAAAAACAGTCAGTTTATAGCATAAATGTTAGCGCTGGAATTCAAACCATCATGCAAAAGGAATCTGTTGAAACCATGCTCATTTAAAGAAGAGACATACTTGAAGATGGAAGAAAATATCATTTTACAGCATAGAAATCCTATATTTCACACCGTGTGACTGTGTAAAAATGACCTATTCTTACAGAACAGGACACAAGCATGGTTTCTCACAATTATTGGATTACCTTAACATGCAGGGAAAAGTACAATAAACATGACATCTCTGCTGGGGCTGTTTTCGTTTCTAATATCTATTAATGTAATTAGCATGCAGATACTTCCAGTGGCAAACTTGGGTTACCTTTGCCTGCCTCTACAGTGGGCCGAGTACGAGCTTCAAGGAAAAGAGAAAGAGAAAGAGACAGAACCTCCTCAGGGTTGTCATTTTTACAGAATTCCTGACATCTGTCACTGCACTGTGGCTACCGTTAGGCTGCTTTAAAACGTTTTCTTCCTATTAAGCTTTTATTTGGTTCACCTTAAGTTAAATGCTTAAACTTCAAGTTCTTGGACACAGGACTCACTTGTATGCATGACTGTGAAAGCCTCCTCTGTGATGATGGGGCCAGAGCCCTTGTTCGTCTTTGCACTTAAGTAAAACTTGTAGAGCATGCTGGAGTTCAGGTTACTCAGAGTAATGGTGGTCTCGTTGGCTAGAAAGGTCATGACCTGGACTGGTCCCAGTTCACTGGTATTGTTGACTGCAAACAGGGCAAGAAACAGCCAACAATTGGAAAATGCAAAGATGAAAGTTGAGAGGAAAAAGCACAAATGCTGCATAATACTGTGGCGATACTTAAAGCTAAAGGGGACTGCAAATCCTACCTGGTTGGTATTTCAGAATGTATCCAGTGAGACGTCCATTGTTGTTAATTGGTGGGCCCCATTCCAGAGTGAGAGAGTCCAAACCAGGGTTGATTACACTGAGAAAAGAAGGAGGCCCTGGGACTGAAAACAAAACCAGAATTAAGTCTGAGTCTGTTGGCTACATGAGCATTTGTAGAATACAGATATTTTATATTTGAAGGGCATATAATAGTGGCTAAGGAGTACATGAACCTGACTGTTAAGGCTTTAATTGGATGTTGGCTCTGTGTGCCCTTGTATTTGGTAGGCTGTCTTACTAGTACAAACAGTGCTACTAGCAGCAGGTAAAATATATATTTTGTATTAATGTGTACATTTAAGATATTGTAGTATAGCAACATTCAAAGTGTGGTCATCCATTTAAAATTTGGAGGAACTTGGCATCCTATTACAGTACAAGTTTTTTTTTTATTCTTCTTTGGACCGAAAGACATACACACCTCCCTCAGGTGTCTCAAATGTCTTGCTTTGGCTAGAAGGCCCTTCTCCTTTGTTATTAAGGACTCTGATAGAGAGACTATAGACACTGTAAGGCTGGAGGCCTGGCAATCGTCCCTCACTTCGGTTTCCACTGAAAGTCAAAACTTGCATTTCCTCATCAGTCTCCTCTTCTGTCTCATGCAAACCATGCTTTCGCCTGTAGTATACCTGGAGAAAAGCAGACCAAGAGTTAAATGAATCATTGTGGTGTTGTAACCAGGTACCCCAACACAAAACAGGAGAATTAGAGTGATGCTCAGTAAAAAAAAAAGCAGAGAAAACTCAAAGTAACTTTTTTCTTTCTTTTTTTTTACTTCCTATACTACACTCATTCAGACATACACTCACCAGTCACTTTGCTAGATACACCTTTTCAACTGCTTGTTAATGCAAATATCTAAGCAGCCAATCACATGCCAGCACCTTCGTAGGGTTAGCCATGTAGACATGGTCAAGATGACCTGCTGATGTTCAAACCCAGCATCAGAATGGATGTTGGTGCCAGATGCTGCTAATCTGCTGGGATCAACTACTTCTTAGAATATACAAAAAATGATTTTTAAAAAAATCATATAGCAAAAAAAGGAAAACAAGAAAATATCCAGTAAGCGGCAGTTCTCGGGGAAAAAATGCCTGTTGATTCTAGAGGTCAAAGAAGAATAGCCAGACTGTTTTGGTTTTGCTTTGGTGGGAGAGCAACAAGAACTTAAAAATAACCACTTGTTACAACCAAGGTTTGCAGAAGACCATTTCTGAAAGCACGTCAGCAGAAGACCACACTTGATGCCAGTCCTCTCAGCTAAAACAGAACCCTGAAGCTACAATTCACATGGTCTGACTAAAGTTGAACAACAGAAGATCGGAAAAATGTTGCCTGTCCTGATGAATCTTGTTTTCTGCTGAAACATTGAAATGTTGAGGTCAAAATTTGGCGTGAACAACATGAAAGCATGACTCCATCTTGGCTTGTATAAAAGGTTTAGGCTGTTAGAGGTGGTGTAGTGGTGTAGGGACAATGTTCTTGGCATACTTTGAGCTGGTTGTGCAGCTGAAAAATGGGCAGCAGACGAATGTTTCCAGCACCTTGTTGAATCTATGCCACAAAAAAATGAAGGTACTTCTCAAGGGAAACTGGGACCCAACTACTCAAGAAGGACTATTTTCATAGTATCTATAGTGTTGATTGTATTTATAAGTGACATTAATGTCATAAGATTGGGACATCTACTTTGACATCTCTGTGATGGAGGGGGAAATGTGGCATAAGACAATACCTTGTATCCCTGTAGTTTTCCTCTGACAGAGGGCGGTGATATGGGCTCCCAGTGTACTTCTGCCAGTGTGCTGTTATGAACCATGACCTGCACACTCTCTGGAGCAGACAAAGGCACTGCAAAACAGAGAATATGAAATATTAAGTTGAACCAGTTTGAAAACACTGTGGTGATGGATCATGGTCTTGTAATAGTAAACACAGTAAGGTTTTATAGTATGTCACATGACTAGACTTATTTATGACTTGAGCAATACTATAAAACAAAATGACAAGGGTTACAGCCCCTGTTATTGAAACCTTAAACAATACATGCTCATTCTCAAACTTCCCAGTCTGCTTTATCTTTTTCTATCTTCCATAGTTCTGATCTAATACCGAAAAGAAACGTATTTCCACAGAATTCACTTACAGTCTTCTCCAGAGTATCCAAACGCCACTTCAGGTTCTGGCCCGACACCATAATTGTTGAAAGCTTGAACTTTGATTTCATAGGGCACATAGGTTGGAGTTCCAGACACAACCCACTGGGATACATTGGCCACATTCTGTGCTGACCACTCCTTCTCAAGATCCTTCTGTCTCCACTGCACTTTATATTCCAGACCGGGCCCATTGGACTGGAGTCCTGTGAGTGGCTACACAGAGAGTAATGTTAATTAGTACTTGCATATTCCATCTATACAATACATTTAGGCTAACACTCAAATCAATCTGAAATATAATTAAAACCATCTCACTGTCCAGGAGATGACCAAGTTGCCTGGCTCGGTTCCTACTCCCTGAACACCTGACGGGTTTTCATCAGGAGCTGAGAAAACCAAAGAATCCTGGTTCAGTCTGAACTTATTTTTGTGTTAATATGATTAACATATTTCTATTTTCAGTGACTTTTACCTGCAGGGTTGGTCCTATATTGACGTGAGGACTGGCTCGGCTCACTATAGCCGACACGATTTTTAGCCAGCGCTCTGAAGGAGTAGTACACGTATGGAGAGAGGTGCAGCTGTGCTGTGGTGCTAGTACCAGGAACCTCTGTCAGGTTTGTCCAAACTCCTGGCTGGTGGAGAAGATCCTCATACTGGATCAGAAATTCTGGAGAAGATAAAAGATTCAGATGTCACGAATGTTTTTAACATCAGAAACTTTGTTTTCATTTGTACAGGTCATAATTACTGTAGGTTAAATCATGTCTGCCGATAGTACAGTCTGAGCAAACTGCTCCAACACTGAGAATTTCATACTTTCTATAGGACTGTTGTTTTCATCTCCTGGGGTCCAGGTGAGCTGGACACTCCTCTCTGTTTGGTCTGTCAGCTCCAGGTCAGTCGGAGGGTCAGGTTTCTCTGTGAATGCAATAAGAAATTTAGTACCTTGCTTCTGTTTCCATATACAATTTGGCACCAATACAACACCTTTCCACAATTAAAAACATAACAGCAGTAAATGAAATGTACAGCAGGTATTTTGATGGGTAGCTAGTGAGGTTAACACCAACATTTGTTAGCCGGATTACATAATTAACTGTGTTTTTCTTATTTAAAAAACATGAATGTCAGTCAACAGTTTGTATGCACTCACACAGTCCTGAGGAGAAATCCAAATATTGAAAACGTGGGTGAAAATGTACCGATTATTAACAGTGACGAGAAACTTTTAAAACTCTCACATGCATTCTATGCAAGTATGGTGGGATTTAAAGTTTATGGCAAGTGTTAAGACAAAATTGACCAGAAATAATCAGACCTGAGGGTCAAAAGGTTAATGGGTCAATCACAGTCAAATAGCCGAACGCTGCACATTATTGGCAAAAGTTAGGACTGTTATATCCAATTTTTTGTGACAGTTTTTGCAACTTTAGCATTTTTTATGACAGGCACTTTTAAAATAATGCATTTTTATATAATCGAGTAAAACATGTCAAAATGTGTCTCATTTATGCAAATATGTATGTTGCATATAAGCTCTGTGATGTATGTCATATGCTGTTGTGAACACTACAGCCTGTAATGTGCTACACTGCATACAAGTGAGTCCAAGCCGGTAAAAAAACCATGCTTGTCCCCCTTTAATTTGCCAAAGAAGTATAAACATCAGTTTGAACTTTTTTTTTGCTAACTTTGTTGGAAGTTACAAACTGAAAAAATATTAAACATATATTTAAAAACTAACTACTAGACCAAATGAAACTGTGTAATATCATAAGAAAAAGAGGGCATTTCCATTCATATATTAAATAAAAAACAACTTTTAATTAATGATCTTGACCAAAACCTGTGTGATCTTCATCACCAGGACTAGCTTCATATCATCAACACCAGCTCATCAAAACTTACTAGCAAAAGCCTGCCCTATGGGTGGTTCTGTACACGGGCAACATATGCTGAATACCAAAAAAATAATAAAAAAAATCAAGAACTGGGATTTTTAATAAATCTTTAAAAAACAAAAAAACAAACCAAATAGATGTTAAGCAGCCCTGTATGTGTGACAAAAGTTTTTGCAAAGTTTTGTCCAGACTGGCCCACCCATTAGGCTATGATTGTTACGGTTTAATTACTTAATTAACTTGAAAATAGTATTATTTTGTATAATTTTGTACAGTTTTAGCAGTTGACTGTGACCAACCTGACAGCACTGATGATGATACCACTGCTAGTTAGCTAACAGCACCAGATTTGTTCAGGTGTTGCAGGTAAAACCTCACATTACATACGATGTGTCATCAGAATTTAGTGTTCGTGTGTGTTAAAATGATGTCTTCCATATTTTTAAACGCACTACACTTTGCAAAAGTACATAAAATGCAGTAGCTAGCATGACAGCAGCAGGTGAAACACTGCAAAGGCAACTTTAAGTACTTGTGTGTTTGATTTGAGACAGCAGACTGCCAAGATTTAAGTAGTTTAAAAGTAATGTACACCATGGAAGGAAGTAGCCAAAGGACACACACAATGAGTTAAGCTAATGGAAGCTACAAATTGCGACAATGTGGACATTGTTTACCGTAGACAATTGCAGGAGTAGGAGTCGCCTCTGACAGCGAAAAGCAGGAGCAAAGTGCAAGAAGAGGGTTAGAAGTTAGGGACAGACACTTAAGAAACAGCAGAAAGATCTCAGTGGTAATGTTATTTTAGGAATGTAACTAAAGCTTGAGGAGTAAACACTAAAGTTTCAGTGCAATTAAGGAACCAAAAGGGGGGGGGGGGACTAAAGCAAACAATAGAAGCAGGAAAGCAAAAAAGACTCTGGGTCTGTGTTAGAGATAAATGATAACTACGTTGATACGTTAAGGTGAGAACGTACCGACAACAGTCAGCATGGCACTGGCTGAGTCCTGATCGAGGGTGGTGTTCATGATGCAAGTATAAGTCCCCTTATCATCATCAGTCACGTCTCTGATGGTCAGACTATCAGTGTCCACCTCGAACCTGAAAGTATTAACAAGAAACAACATCAGGTATTTCTACAGAGTCAACAGAATAAGTGCAGTCTCAATGGTTGGGCGTACCTCTCATCATCAGGCAACTCTCCTCTGTCTTTGAGCCAGGTCATGGTGGGAATTAGGGAAGGGTCATGCTTGACTTTACACTCAAAGACAGCGCTCATTCCTCTCTGCACCACCTTGTACTCTGGCTGCTTCAGGATACGAGTGGGCTCTGCAAAATGGATAACCATTATGTCACCGCTGATAACCTGATGCCCACTGACAAAGACGATTTGAACCACCAATGTCACTGTCTGAGTTGTGATTAGACTATACTGACCTTTAACTTCCAGAAAGACATGGTTCTCCTTGATCCCAAGGTTGTTTGTGGCAATGCAGGTGTACTTTCCGCTATTTAGCGGCTGGGCTACATTTATTTCCAGAGTACCATTCTCATGGATTACATATGGGTCAGTATTCTTAATGCTGATCTGACTGTCTTTGAACCTGCATAGAAATGGCAACCAAGGCGGCTCAAGTACAGTACAGTGCATCTTAGCTTTGAAATCTAATAATATTTCAAATGAGCTGACAGTTACCATGTGATGGTTGGAATAGGCGAGCCAAAGGAAGCACAGTGTAGTAATGCAGGGCTGTTGGTGATGACCTGGTACACTTGGTTAGGTGGAGTGAGGACCCTTGGTGGTTCAGCTTTA